GTGCTGAATTTAGCACTAGTTCTAGTTTCAGATATAGTCATATTTAAGTGCTTAACAGACACAGTGACAAGTTCTGTCTGTGATATTCAGGCTTTATTCATTATCAAACCAAAACTTAAATTACCATTCCAATATTACAGCAGGGCAAGAACTTTTGTTGTTTTTTTTCTTAATTTATTGTAGTTTCCACTTAAAATAGACCTTTTGTTCCCCCCCAATAGCTTTAAAACAGAAGCAAATTATTATTATTTTTTTTTTTTTTCCTGGTTGACTTTTGGTGACCTCTTTCAGTTTTCATTAGCATATTCAACATTATAGCGGCAGAAGTGGTTGTAAAATTTGTCATTTATATTGCTTCTTTTTTTACAGGCATGTCAACGTACCTTTTTATTATCAAATATGAGCTCCCTATCGTTATTCAATCACTTACCGGAGCTAGAAATGGGTAAGTTGCATATTGGGTTTGCTGATCTTAAGTGTTACTTTTGACCCAAGTTTTGGTATTTTAATTTATAAACAACACACCAATGTAACTTGAGAGGGATGGAGTCATTGCTGAAACTGACTTGCGACTTATGACGGAGATTCCCAAACTTTTCAGCCTCTGGCCCCCAAACTGTGGAAATATCTGCCTGGCTACCTGCCCTTCCACTCATTTGTGTCTCAGGCCAGAGGCGGGGCCTTGGCGCACAGGTGGATGGGCCACAGCGTGTGTTTTAAGCTTGGTTTATGCTTGATGTTTCTCTAAGTTCTGCATGCCCAAATTGCGTCATCTTGGGCTTCCACATCCCTCCGGATTATGTGCTGAATTTCTGCACAGAGCACTAGGGTTGGGAATTGATAAGATTTTCACAATTTCGATTTCCTTATTAATTATGTTAAAAGATTAAATTCCATATCGATTCTCTTATCAATTCTGTGAAACGATGATCTTGGTGAGTGCACAGTGACATTGGTCCATCTTCGCCAGGGACATTCTATTTCTGCCTGCCTCTGTAAAAACAGAATGCAGTGAACTTGAGCTGCCAGCCTCTGAGCCAGCCAGGCTACCCGTCTCGTCACAGTCATCTAAATCTAATGGAGAAAGCATTGTTTAATGAAAAAGCATAACTGTTTTATTTTGGCAAAAAATTATCTCACTCATAAACCATCATAAACTCATCACCCCTCTCTCGCTCCCTGAACTGCAGAGCAACTTCATAGCATCTTTAATAACCCCAAAGAGAGGTAGGATATGGGTTGCTTTCCAGAAATGGCATTTGATTTACTAGGGACAACATTAAGCAAAGCCAGTGATATAAAACTAGCTACTTGCCACCAAAGTTGAGTTCCATGGTGGTGGTAACTTTAGCCTCTGTTGGAAGCATCAAAAACACAGCATTCGTAATTTATGCCATGTTGTGTGCGCAGGTGTTTTTGCATGTTGGATGCATTCCCTCCCCCTTTGCAATGATTGCAAAGCGCCTTGTTGCCATCTTCTCTACCTTAAAATGAAGCCAAAGTTTTGATCGCTTTACCCGATGGGACGCTTTTTTTGTTTTTCTTCTTTTTTTTTTTTTTTGCTTTTCTAGACTTGCGCCTTGCCACTCTGGAGTTCCTTTAAATGTCTGGGGCTCTGGGTAGCCTGCCCCACACCACTTTGAGGGACTGGGGATCTCCTTCTGGGTCTTGGGTCACTGAATGTTTTCTAGCAGTCTAAGTGGCATGATAAGACAAGTGTTACTACATGATGCCAAATCAGTTTACTTGTGAAAGCAAATCTGTTTGGCTATTTAACTCTTGAAAATAAATTCCCAGATCTCTATTGCAAAATAGGACACAAAAAAAGAGTAGGAAAGGTGTTCCAGACTGCTGTGCTGAATCCAGAGAGCCTTAAGCCTTAGCTTGTGTCACACAGAGAACAGTGAAGAAATAGTTCAACTCCAAAGAGTAGGCTGTGCCAATACATCTTGTCATGCAAAGGATTCCTAGGTCCTAAGCACCAGATATGAATATTGGAAGGATCTTATGCTAAATGAAGAAACAATTTCTCATTCGGCACTATTGGGACAGTACTTGTTATGGTGATCGCTGATGCATTTCAGCTGTAGCCTGTCAGTACAAATTTCAAAGACTCAGATGAAACCTATTTGTATAATACTTTTCAGGAAGTGAAACTTTTAGAATAAAAACTAGAATTTCACAATAAAAAAAAAAGGTTTAGTGTTAACGGAAAAAACAATTGCAAACAAATGAGTTGGGTATTAAACTAATTGTATTGGTCTGATAGTCTTTAGGCTAAATATTTTTTCTTTTGAGGAATGTTCATTGTTCAAAGCTGTCTAACCTATGTTTCAGTGAATGGCACATTCATGGAGATTATCTTATTCTGCTGGTTTCGGTTATTCTCATCTTGCCCCTCTCTCTGCCCAAGAAATTAGGTAAGAAATGTGTGAGTCATATATTGTGTTTCCTATTTAATAACAACAGTTAAAGTTTATTCAGAAATTACTTTTTCTTTCTTCCTTAGGATATCTTGGTTACACCAGCAGTCTGTCTCTGCTCTGCATGGTGTTCTTCCTGATTGTGGTGAGTATGGCCCCAACATGCTTCCTTATTCTACCTGCAACAGTTAGATTCAATGAGTCATTCCTGAAAAACCTTACAAAACGTAAGGTTTTTTGTAAATTGCAAATGTACAGCTCAGAAACATGTTTACCAATGCATTTCTGCAGGTGATTATCAAGAAGTTCCAGATACCGTGTCCTCTGCCTTTGACTAATCATGTGAATGAAACCATGCAGAACAGCAGCCACCACAGCGAAAACACCACCAGCAATGATGACCTTTGCAGGCCTAAATACTTTGTCCACAACTCACAGGTAAATAAATCTATTGCAGTGAAACTTTTCAGTAGTTCTTGTTAAACTTGTAACTACTACTTGTAACCTTTATTTTTTTCCAATTATCCAGACTGTCTATGCTATTCCCATCCTTACCTTTGCCTTTGTGTGCCACCCTAGTTTACTACCCATATATGGGGAGCTTAAAGAGTAAGTGCTGCTATTTGGGTGCAATTTTAAAGTTTCTATACGTTTTAAACAATTTTTATATTTTTCTAAATTATTTCTAACTAATACATATCTCCCATAAACAGCAGATCACGCTCAACGATGCAGAATGTGGCCAACGTGTCCTTCTTGGCTACTTCCATCATGTACCTGCTGGCTGCTCTCTTTGGATACTTCACCTTCAACAGTAAGCCTGACTTATATCATTGAAAGCTTTCTGTTAAAGGTCCATATTATGCTACATTTGAAACGAAATAATTAAAATTCAGGCACATTTTTGACGCTTGTGACGGAAAATTCCTCTTACATTATTCAGCCCTCCTCTGGATGTGCTGTTTTGGCTTTCTACACCTTCCTAAAGTCGGGCCGGGTTACAAAATGTTTATACTGTGAATATTGCATAATATGGGACCTTAAAACTCCATCAAAGTGGCATGGGTGTCCTTTCTCCTTCACAATGTTCAGAATTTCAATAAAAGCAATTAAGTACAAGGGAAGTAAAGGTCCAAATCAACAAGATAACATCAAATGGTTTCAGTAGATTTCATCTGAACCCCGAAATACAAATGAGCTCTGTAGTATAAGGATTTTGTGATTCTGGATTATTGTAATCTTGTTTATTGATATATAAAACTGAAGTAAACGTTGTTGAAGCAGCAGTGGTGCCATCAGCAGGTTTAGCAGAGACAGACGATGCTGGAGAAGGTGTGGGAGCCGGCTGGGGATGTTTTAGCATTTGGCAGGGAAGAATCTAGAGTGCTTTCCTCATTTTCCCCCCAAGACCCTGTCAGAATGATGGCGCAGCAGTTGCATATCTCCTTTCTTGAAGACTGTTCCAGACGGAGATTATCCATTTTGTTCAACATTTGTTTTCTGTACATACCATATTTGTTACCTGTATGTACATACTTTGGTCTATTCAAGGTGCATTCAGCAGCTATTCCTTCGGATCAAGTGAAGGACATGCATTGCTGCTTCTTCTATTAACTATCAACTGTTAACATTTTGTTTTTGTGGATAATCGTGTTGTTTTTTTTAAGTTTCATTTTTGTCATGGAGGAAGAAATATCTGCTATAAAGGTTGGCCCAAAATATCAGAACATTTTGGGGATTGGTTAGACTGATGTCAAAATTATTGGTCTCAAACAACTTGTAATAGTTGAACTCTAAGTGGTTTTGGTTCACACTTCTCTATGCATATCTATGTACCTCTAAAAATCAAGTTGTATATATTTTTAATAAATTATCTATTTGATTGAAGCTGATATTTTCGTCAACTTACTTTTCATTTGCCCTTCAAATAGGCTATGCTTTTGTTTTAATCTAGTTTTGAAAAATGTATTGCACAATGTATTATGCATTGAAATACATAATTTGCAGAAGCCACGAGTCAGCTGTTATTATCAATCTACTGAAGCCCAAAATGTTACAAGCCAAGTGATGAAATTATCTGTTTCTGTGCAGTCCATGTGGAACCTGCACTGCTCCACACCTATTCCAAGTACTTCAAGCATGATGTCCTCCTGTTGGTGGTTCGTCTGGCTGTACTGGCTGCTGTCACACTCACAGTCCCTGTGGTGCTCTTCCCTGTAAGCGTCTGAGCTCTACTATCAGTGATGCAGTCAAAAAAGACAATGAAGTCCCTGAATTAATCTTTGTTTGGTTCTGAACAGATTCATACCTCGATCAGCCATCTACTGTTCTCAACAACGGAGGTCAGCTGGATCCAACACATTATTATTACCGTAGCCCTGCTTGCAGGAACCAACACTGTAGTCATCTTTGTCCCCAGCATCAGAGATATCTTTGGCTTCATCGGTTAGTACCTGCACATGTTGATATGGTTCTCTGTCTTGATAGCAAAGTGTTATGGCATGTAACAAATGTTGCTTATTACAATTGAAGTATTGCTTTAAAATGCCATTTTCTTCAACAGTCTAATAACATCATATTGAGAAAGGGAGCATTTTCCTGGCTTAGATTTGGTAGTTTATAAATACACTGCTCAAAAAAAAAATAATTAATTAAAGTAACACTTTGAAAAACATATCAGATCTCAATGGGGGGGAATAATCATGCTATTTATTTGAACTGATACGGACTGGGTGATGTTAGGAACAAAATGATGCCACATAATTTGATGGTAATGAAAGTGATCAACCTACAGACGGCTGAATTTAAGACACCCCAAAAATTACAGTGAAAAAAATATGCTGCAGGCTAGTCCATTTTGCTGAAATTTTATTGCAGCAACTCTAAATGGTATTCAGTAATTTATATGGCCCCCACGTGCGTGTATGCATGCCTGACAACGTTGGGGCATTCTCCTAATGAGACGACGGATGGCGTCCTGGGGTATCTCCTCCCAGATCTGGACCAGGGCATCACTGAGCTCCTGGACAGTCTGAGGTGCAACCTGGCGGTGTTGGATGGATCGAAACATAATGTCCCAGAGTTGTTCTATTGGCTTTAGGTCAGGTGAGCGTGGGGGCCAATCAATGGTATCAATTCCTTCATCCTCCAGGAACTGCCTGCATACTCTCGCCACATCAGGCCGGGCATTGTCGTACACCAGGAGGAACACAGGACCCACTGCACCAGCATATGGTCTAACAATGGGTGCAAGGATTTTATCCCGATACCTAATGGCAGTCAGGGTGCCATTGTCTAGCCAGTATAGGTCTGTGCGTCCCTCCATGGATATGCCTCCCCTGACCATGCCTGACCCACCACTGGTCATGCTGAACGATGTTACAGGCAGCATAACGTTCTCCATGGCCTCTCCAGATCCTTTCACGTCTGTCACATGTGCTCAGGGTGAACCTGCTCTCATCTGTGAAAAGCACAGGGCACCAGTGGCGGACTTGCCAGTGTTCTGTGGCAAATGCCAATCGAGCTCCACTGCACCAGGCAGTGAGCACAGGACCCACTAAAGGACGTCGGGCCCTCAGGCCACCCTTGTGAAGTCTGTTTCTGATTGTTTGGTCAGAGACATTCACACCAGTAGCCTTTTGTAAAGCTCTGGCAGTGCTCCTCCTTGCATAAAGGAGCAGATACCGGTCCTGCTGATGGGTTGTAGACCTTCTACGGCCCTGTCCAGCTCTCCTGGAGTAACTGCCTGTCTCCTGGAATCTCCTCCATGCTCTTGAGATTGTGCTGGGAGATAAAGCAAACCTTCTGGCAATGGCACCTATTGATGTGCTATCCTGGAGGAGTTGGACTGCCTATGCAACCTCTGTAGGGTCCAGGTAGCGCCTCATGCTAACAATACTGACAGTGACCCTAGCCAAATGCAAAACTGGAGAAAAATAGTCAAAAAAGATGAGGGGGAAAAGAATGTCAGTGGCCTCCTCCTGTAAAACCATTCCTGTTTTGATGGTTGTCTCGTTGTTGCCCCTTTAGTGCACCTGTTAATTTCATTAAGACCAAAGCAGCTGAAACTGATTAACAAACCCCTCTGCTACTTACCTGAGCAAATCAATATCCCAGAAGTTGAATTAACTTGATGCGATACTCTGATTACAAAGTGTTCCTTTATTTTTTTGAGCAGTGTACATTAGGGGGTGACTCACCCAATGAGAGAAGCCATGCTGGGTTGCCATTTTTGAACGGAGTTCCTGAAAGGGAAAACTTGTCAGCCTTAGGTGATTTACATTTAGCTGAATATTTCAGGTGGTGGCGTTTAATAAAAAAAAAAAAAAAAAAAAATCTAAATCAATTTTCTGTTGCAATGGAGGACCATTTGTGCTCTGTCCAGTGAAAGGCGAGAGAAAGAAACCAAAAAAGAAAAGTCAGTAATAACAGGGGAAAAAACAGGAGTAAGCATAGCTTTAATCAGGTGGAAGGAATTTGTGAGGGAATGGAGCTTTTAAAGGAATGTGGATGTTTCAGGCTATCTGCTGAACAGGTAATGTCATTTAATAAAACAGTGAAGTTTATTTTGCTGTCATGTTGGGAAAAGGGCAGGGCAGTGCAGTACAGTAACTAGTCTGTCCTCCAGGTAGAAATTGTTTGTTTGTTTGCAGGTGGATGAGATCCTTTACAGCGGTTATCAGCTGCTATTTTTCTTCACAAAAGTAATATCAGCAGGCAACCATAAGCTTCTTTCAGCTCTGTGTCCAGAGAGATTTTCCATGCATTTATGTTTGTTCTGGCTTATCTGTCAATGGTGATTAAACCAGCTCTCTCCTCCCAGCAGACATGTCTAGTATGTCTGTTAACTTACACTGGATGAGCCCTGATGCAACAGTTATTTGTTGCTATTTTTTTAAAGAGGACATACAAGCAAATGAGCATAATGACTTCAGTCCTGTTTTCATTTAATTTTTCATTTATTATAGCTGATTTGAAAAGATTGATGGAGGTTTATGTTTCTCTAGGGCTTGATGGGAAAACTTAAGTCTGTTGTTTGCAATTAATTTAGTGCACCACTAGATGGAGATAAATCTTACACATTGTACCTTTAACTTTACAATTTGTCCTCTTTTCCAGGTGCCTCTGCTTCTGTTATGCTCATCTTCATCCTGCCCTCAGCTTTCTATATCAAACTTGTCAAGAAGGAGTCAATGATGTCAATGCAAAAGATTGGGGTAATTTATAAATGATCAAACATGTACTTATTACTCCTTACATCTGACAGGACTACAGTCCAAAACATTTAAGCCTTTGTGAAGGGAAACTTTTACCCAAAGGTTGATATGGACTTTTTCTAGTCATTTTTCACAAACTGAACTCTACAGCATTAACTGTGTGATTATTTCCTCCTCCAGGCTACAATGTTCCTGATATTAGGATTCTTTGTCATGTTTGGCTGCATGACTCTGATCTTCATGGACTGGATCTCCAACCAGTGAGGTCCCTGATCAGGGCCACTGATGCTCTTCTGGAGCATTCTGCTGTTATATTGGCCGTTTCAAAGCCACTGAAACATGTTTCAAGTTATTTAAGGCATAGTGGTTTTTAGTTACCTCATATTTACTCATTTCTAATACATGTTCTATTCTTGTACTGAAATATCTATTTCTATGTAATGACTCTAGAGTGTCTTTTGTACTTTCTGTGTTGAGTGTGTTTCCAGAACCCAGGGTTACAAGGGTGTAACTATTGTCTCTCCGTAGACAAGTGGGATGTGTTTTGATATGCATAGAGAAGTGTGAACCAAAACCACAAGTCGCCTTTGGAAGTAGAGGAAGATTTTCCTGGGACCAAGATCAACCTTTTAAAACTGCTTATGCTTGTTTTATGTAGATAACATTGCTGCTACTTCCCCCATCCGTTAGAGCAAAATGATCATGTAACTAGGGATTTACCAATATGAAATTAAAACAGAAGACTCAGCGGAGTGTACTTCAGAGCGTTAGGTGATTGTAACTGAGCATATCTCCGTTATAATTAAGGCCACACTGACCCCCTGTTTCTATCCGTGGGGTCAACTTGGACACTGTGGAGGATTATAAATACATAGGTGTGCACTTGGCCAATAAATTGGACTGGACTAAAAACAGAAATGCTACAGGAAAGGCCAGAGCCATCTCTTTCTTCTGAAGCTGCCAAGGTCCTTCAGCATCTGCCAGACAATCCTGCAGATGTTTGTGGTGGCCAGTGCCATTCTTTATGCTATTGCATGCTTAGGCAGCAGACGAAAGGTGGAGGACGCCAACAGACCTAACAGACTCATTCTCTCTGATAGAAGTGTCAGAGAGGAGCATGTTGGCCAGGATCAAATCCATGCTGGACAATTCTGCACACCATCTTCATGATGTGCTGGTCACCCAAAAAAGCCCCTTCAGTCAAGGACTCATTTCATCACGCTGTACCACAGAGCGCCTCAGGAAGTCATTCCTGCCCGCGGCCATCAAAGTGTATAATTCATCTCTCTCTGAAAGGCATTTCATTAAATTACTTATTAATATTTATTTCATGACTTCATTATACTCAACCACATAGTCATGTGCAATAATTTTGATTTGCTGCTGAACAGCATTGTAAATATTGTCGCTGTCACATGTGTCGTCTGTCAACATGTCATTACATTATATATCTCATTTTATTCTAATCTTATTTTATTCTTATATCTTATTTTACAAAGTTTATATGGGAAGTATGTGTTATACGATATTTGTAATAAAGAAAAAAATTTTCCATCAGTGATGTCCTTGAGAGCATAGTTTGTCATTTTAACTTAAAAATGCCAAGAAGGTAAAGATCGTTTCTTTCTTTTCTCCTGAAAATGTGTGAAACCGCATTTACAATTGATGGATAAAAAAAAAAAGATTTTGTTTGAAGGCTGCATGCAGCAACTGTATTTGGGCTTCAGGGAACACTTCAGAAGTTGAAACATACATAACTCCTCTTTGCTCTTAATGAGGCAGACCTGAGGAGGAAGAAAAAGGAAACTAAAGCAACAATTCTTTTCCAAATATTTGTATTTTCCATTGATTTCAGCAGGTAGGACAATTTCCCAATAATTTCCAGTGATTTATATTTGAAATAACAAAAACAAGTCCATTATTTTCAGTCTGCTTCATCACCTGTAACGAGATGAAAAAAGAACAGCTCAACCGAAAGACATGGGATAACATACAATAAAGCAACACCTTTAAACTATCGCTAAAGTAGTATTATTAAGTCTGACATGTACTCTGTGTTACCTGAAGATACGGATGTGGGCTTTCTGTATGGAAGTGAGAGATTCACTTCCGTGCTCTGAGGTTGCAAGATGCCCACAGCCTCCACTCTGGGTTCCTGAGCAAATGGCTCTTAACCACACACTGCTCCCTGGGCGCTGCACAGTCACAGCCCACTGCTTCCCAAGGGGATGGGTTAAATGCAGAGAGTTCATTTCATTGCTCTGTACTTGTGACAGTGTAATGACAATAAACAAACTGAAAAAAAGAACATAAACATATCACCAGAATGATTGACAATTAGGAGGACCACTTATTTTGATGATCCACTGGAAAAAAAGAAAATCCACAACTATACCTCTAATGATGGACTCTAGAAACTTTCTTGCTGGTTAAGAACTACATGGAACAAAAATGTCACAGGAAACCATTTCTTCTGGTTTATTTCATCAGATCTTCTGCATCTGACAACCCAATGCAGCACTGCAAGGTAAAGCTAAAGAGCTAAGGGAGTGGTTCAAGTTATAGTCGTGTGCAAAACCAAAATGATGGACCTTTAAAGGAAAAAACAAAACAAAAAGAGTCTGGCTACAAGTGAAATTGCTTTAACTATTTGCTTCAGTTGCCTGAGAACTGGCATTTGATCCAAGAGTTTGCAGGGATTCAATGACAGCATGAAGATCACAGAAAGAAACAGCACGAATCAATGGAAATAAAAATAAAAACAGTAAACATATCCAAGGAGCATAGATCTGTGAAGGTCTGAAAAAGCTCTAAAACTCCTATTATAGTGCCAATATAAGTCTATGCAAAACAATTCAATGAAGTCCTCCTCTATGCTCTTCTGGATCATTCATTGTATTTTTCTAAAGAAAATATTAGTTTAAATACTCCCACCACACAAATCAATCATGAACTGTTTGGTAGAATAGGGTGTTGCCTTGTAAAAACATTAATAGGCAAAATCAATAAAAAAAAAAGCAGCTCTGCTTTCCTCTAGTGTTGACAATTTCCTTTTAAATGAATCCACATCACATTCATGCATGGCTGGTTGGCTATTTGATCCATCAGATCTAATGTCTACAATTATACATGGGAATGAAACCCAACTCTTCACACAGTAAATCCCACCAGATGAACTTACGGTCCATCAGATCTATGTGGTTGAGACTGCACATAATAGTGAAAGGCTGATGTTTGGAATAGAACCAACTGTTTTAAGGTGAAGACTGCTATGCTTTTAGGATCAGAAAAGATGATGAGGTGCTAGTCAAAATTTTATCACGGAAATAATTTCAATCTGACAAAAGTAATGATTGCTTTTACACCATGTTCCAACAGATTGAGCTGGGGAAAAAATACAATCACAAAACAGGCCTGGAAAAAAATGATGCTACATTTTGTTGCACAATCTTTTTAGTCAATCACTGCAATCAAACAATTCAACTAACTGTCAGTGAGACTTCTGCTCCTCTTCAGCAAACTAATCCAGTTATCTCCATTTGAAGGAGGCCTTTCTTGGACAGTATTTTTAAGCTCCTTCCAAAGAGGCTCCTAGGATTTAGGTCAGGGCTCATAGAACGCCACTTCATGATTAGCCCAACTCTTTCCTCGTAGCCATTCTTAGAGATGGTCTCTTAACCTTCACCTTCAAAATTCTTGTTTATAATTTTCTTTCTAATCTCATGAGACAATTATTTCCTTAAGTTTCTTTGGTCCATGTTGAGTGTGGTACACACCATGTCACCAAACAGCACAGTGACTACATGAAGTAGTATATATAGGCCCACTGACTGATAATACGATTGTAGACACCTGTGATGCTGACTAATGGACATACCTTGATTTAACATGTCTACCTGGTCACATTCTCAGTCTTTACTAAAGGTACAATCATTTTTGACCAGACCTGTGCAATAATGTTATTTTCATGTCATTTCATCTTTGGAAGGAGCTGAAAACACCAGTGATTGTTCACAAGAGGCAAGACTGGACTTTTTAAACATCCTGAAAGAGAAAATTAATGAAAAAGTAAACAAGTAATTCTTCTCCACCGAGTCCCAAGCATCAAAAGGTAGAAAAGATTGTCTGGTATTCCTCAGCAGGTTTCCAGAACCCCTTTGTTAATTCTGCAAGAATTCGGACACAGACTGGTGAAGTACTGGAGGCTCAAAAAGTGTGATATTTTTTAGCTTTAGGTGAACCCTGGAGACTAAGTTCATCATTTTCTAAAGGAGGGATATATTATGACTCATTTAGGATGATAACCTATCTGTAAGACAGACCTCACTGGGTCACTGATGTCTCTAAAATTTCAATTAGACACAGAACTATTAGATTAATAATAAATTGCAAACTGTCAATCCTTACCTTGCATTTATTTAAAGAGAAACAGAGAAATTAATTCAATTTGGAAAAAATATAAGCTCATTTACCACTAAATGTATAACAGGTTAGGCCCTCGATTTATATATGGTATAAATAAATGATAATTAAATTAGTTACAGAAAGATTAAAATTCAGTCTCAAATTCAAAACTAGTTATGTCAGTAAGATTTTGTTATGCAGACCTGTTTTAACTGCAACAGTTCTACATTTAAACTTTCAAAGAAACGTCCAAAAGCAATTGTAGATATAGAGAAAATGTGTTAAGTGAGTCTGAAAGTCACATATTTGAAAAAAAAACTCAGGTTTTTCAACATAGATAACAGAACAACTCATTTCCTTTCCCTCCTTATTTGGAACAGTAGTCTTGCCTTAAAAAGGAATAATTCAATATTGAAGCAGGAGATTGGTATAATAAAAAAATAAAACAAATCTAATTTTAGTAATTTGTTTATCAAGGAAAATATGTTAAACAATGATACTATAAATCAGTGGTTCCCAAAGATTTTCTTCTGGGCCCCCCTTTGGATTACAATAAAATTTCCACGCCCCCCCAACCAACCCCATAATGGCCCCCCCTGCAATGGCATTGCGCCCCCCCTAGGGGGCGCGCCCCACACTTTGGGAACCACTGCTATAAATGGAGGATTTAGACAATTGTATAAAATCTTCTGTTTCTGATCATCATTACCCAAGTTTCTGCTCAAATTTACTTTTTTCTACCAAAAAGGGGAAATTGAGCTTTAAGTCTTTCATAAATCTAAGAGCTCTAGCCCCACCTTGTGGCTCAAAGCTGTATTCACACCCAACCCCTCTGATAAACACACCACAGTGGGAAGCATCTAGTTTATTTCACTACTTTCCACATACTTTGAACAGCTCATGAACACACATTCATATTACATTCACCTTCAGACCTCACACTCACTGCTGATTGGACGACTGACTGGATCCAATCAGAGGCCTGATTACAACCACAGTCTTTAGATCGGAGGGCTTCATTGGGCCCCAGAGACCATTAAAGACCAAAGCACTTTTAAAGTCGATGTTGGGTTGAAATATTACACATTTTTATAAAGGAACATGATGATGTTGAATCAAGCTATGAAATTAGGATGCTCTGCACTACACACACTCTTCACAGAGAGCATCTTTAATAATCTCTCAAAGATATGCTGCACCCGCTACTGAAGCTCCAAAGTCCCATGATCTAAGCAAAATAAAGGGCTCTTGCATTACAATTTGTGATCAGGTCATTCTTTTCTAACAAAATATGAAAATCTATAGAAAACAAATCTTCATTCAATAAAAGGTAGATATATCAAAAAAAGAAGAAAGAAATACTGGCTCTCCATCATCTCTCAGTTTGGAGGCCAAATTCCAGCAGGAGGAAATTGCACTTGATCAGATCAGCAGAACGGGTCTGTGAGGGGAAAGTGCCGGCCCGGGAACAGCGGATCGACGGCACGTTCATTTCTTTCGGGCGTGTTTGTATTTGTCCACGTAGGCCTTCACAAGGTTGGCCACTTTGCTAGAGTTCACCTCTCCGCTCTTACTGAGGCAGACCTGAGGAGGAAGATAAAGGAAAATAAAGCAAACAAAAGAAAAACACCAATAGATATTCTAAGGGAAGAGTTTTGCATTTCATTCAGGTCCCATTTGAACCAATGAGCCCTTTTGTCCCATCTCTATAGTTATTGCTCCACCCGGTACTTTTCCTACAGCTGATTTGTTATGGATTTGTGCAGTTCACAATAAAACAAAGCAAATCTTATTTAATGACATCTGTGGACATCGAGGTCTAGAGCTCGTCTATCCTGTTTCTCGTTATTCTGAAGGTCTCATAACCAGATATTAGATCCGTCTCAACTCCCAGCTAGACTTTGGCTTTCCTCACAAAATGTGAGGTAGCTTAAAAGGAGGAAATCGGTGCCACATGCCTGCTTCCTGGATCTCCTCCTTTGGTCGCCATTGTCATCAGTGATAGATGGAATGCAGACAGACCAGCTTATCGTGATTATTCTGGTTGTAAGCATTTAGCTGCAGCAGGTTTTATTTTTGGGCTATCAGAGTAACCATAATATAAATGAACAAGTCGATTTTTTTTTTTAACTCAGCCTGTTTTTCAGTGTAGTCCTGTTTCTCTAAATGTGACTGGCTAGATGTGATTTCTTCATCCTCTGACATGGGAGCTGGCTCGGTGCTTGTCTCCCTGACTGTGTTTCCTGGATGGGGCCGCCTATGGACCTGGTTGACAGTTGCCTTTTGTATCTCTGCATCTTTTTCTATCTCCTTGAGTTCCAGTCAGCCTCAGCAGAAGGCCGCTCACACCGACACTGGTTCTGCTGGAGGTTTCTTCCTGTTAAAAGGGAGTTTTTCCTCTCCATATGCTTACTGTAAGGAATTGCCTTTGAATCAATGAGTTGATGCAAACAACTGGTCTCAGTAAAATGAATTGGTGCTATATAAATAAACTGAATTGAACTTTGAGTTTTTTTTTTAATATACTGACTCGCATTTAAGGGGCATATCTTTTTCTTTGTATTAAACCCAAATTAATTGTTTGTTAAATCTGTTTAAAGTAAGATTAGGAGCATATTACAGTGCCTGCAGCTGAGTGAGAGCATTAAAAGTTGCGTGGTTGTACCTTTTCTACTGCTTTGCGGACGATTTCCTTGTACTCCTCCTTTGTAATTTCCTTCTTCTGATAAAAAGGTTTGATGGCCGTCTTCACTTCATTTATAGCTTTTTCTTGGATCTGCTGTTTCTGCAACACAAAGAGGAAAATAGAGGTTCACCTACAGCAAACCAAGATCCTCCGTCTTGGTTTAGAGCTGCCGTTGGTTACCTTCTCTTTCTTGGAGCTGTCGGCCTGAGCTTTGCTGTGCTGGCTGGACTGAGTGGTGGAGGACGCCAGCACCTGAATGGGCGCCGGCTGAGCCTGGGAAACTGTCGCTGTGCCCACTTTGGTCGGCGTGGGAAGGAGAGCCGAGTGGCCGTACCCTACAACTGTGCTCACCATCTGCAGCCAAGAAGAGATGGTTACTGATATATTTCATTCGGCTTCCTCTTAATGATGTCATATAGCTAACATGTCTACCTGAGCTGTGTGCCCATCAGGCTGTGAGGCAACTGTTGCTACAGTCTGGATGGGTGGAGGTGGTGGAGGAGGGGGAGGCAGGCCCTGCGCGGTGACGTTAGGCACATGAAGCAGCGGCACGGCGGGGTGCAGATGCATGGGGACCTGAGGAGGCACGGCGTAGGGGGCCGCAGGCTGCAAGCTGACCGGCAGGGGCCCCTGCAAGCGCTGGACGGGGTACGGATGGTGGAGAACATTGAGCTGAGGAGGAGGAGGGGGAGGAAGCACATTCAACACGGCGACCGGCGCATTCCCAGGGATCACCTGAAGGGGAGGGAGATCAGTCTTTGGTGGATCTATAAACACAAAATGGGGAAATAAAAGATTAGAGGCAGAAACAAACTCATAAGATAATGGCAGCCTTGGCCCTTTTCTATGCTTTGATGGGGCCAAATTTCCTTATGTTCTGCTAAAAAAAGAAACTCTAAAATCATTTAGTCTGAGTCAAACAGCCCCATGATGCCACAGCTCTGGGTGAAGGCAGCTTTAACTCTAATCATTAACAGCACCCTTCTTCTCCTGGTGTTTAGAATGTGACCAAATGACACCATTAGTCCTAACTGAGCCCAGAATAAACAAGCCTGTTAGCCTAGCACGCTAGTTCATGATCCTGCATGGGAATGTGTCTAAAGCAGCTGCAGAGGAAGGTTTCTACACATTTTTATATATATAAAAAGAAACAAAAAAAAAACGACTTTTTCAGACAATTCCAACACTAACAACACCGTGTATAACTGTGGGAAAGAAATTACAAAACTACAATAAAAAAAAAAAAGATTGTTTTGTCACAAAAGAAGAGCCGTACACATCATAAATAAGGCAGGATTTAGTGACTATACTAATCCACAATTTATATATTCAAATACAATGAAATGTAAAGATCTTTTATATTATAAATAAATACAATTAATGTACAAAGCTAAAAATAACTCAATATCCCAGAAAGTAAAGATTACTTTAGAGATAAATGTAAATTCACCGTACAAAAAGTAAATCAAAATAAGATGCATTTCAGTTGACGGATTAAGAAAGTTAAACGCTGCTAATGTTATGGAGATCATTTCTCAGTAAAACAAAAACTGTGCACAGTATTACGTTTGAAAATTACCTTTCTAAGTAAAGCATATTTTCTAGTATTTTCACTGCAGTTTATTGTTGTTGCCTGCAGCTTAATTTCGTTGGAAGGCAGATGCCTGTCTAAGCCTTTCAGTCACAATATTGTATAACGCAATGTGACTTTTTCATGTCGAAATGAATTTAAACTTAACTATGATTAAAACAGGGGGAAAAAATAACAGTTAATTACAAATTTATCCCTCAAATATGTAGGAAAAGGGGACACAACTAACTAAGGAAAGATGAACCAAAGAGAGAAGGGTGAGTAAAGAAGGAAAAGGAGATAAGTAATGAAATTAAGAGTTAAAAAAAGGAGAGAATGTAGGACGTAAATAAAGGAGGAAGCCTGGTAGATGTTTCTTTTGTTCCCAGTTGTTTATCAATAATAATTTGGATCAAAATCGTAAACTGACCTATTATCGTTTTGTTACGTTCCTACAGAGGCCCCTCCCCTTCATGATCATGGCTGAAAACCAAAACACTGAGCTCCAGCTGGAGGTTTAAAATCAGTCCAACATGGAAGATAAATCCAAAAGTACGGCCCCTCCTCAGCCAACAGGGGAAAACGTTGCCTTTTAGGATGTTTAATAAGCTCCGATTCCAGCTGTGTGTGTTTTAATACCCCAACTGTTACTGTTAACTTAAAAATCAGTATATTAAGTTATTTAAGTCGTGTTTCCCGAATGTAGAGTTTGAACGGAGTCCGAACGCAGCAGCTCTGTGTAAAAGCAGCCATTTCCATCAGGTCCATTTTAACATTAGGGGAAAAACATCTGGATTTTAGAAATACTTCAGAAAGACTAAACTTCTACCAAGGTCATTGTATTCTTTGTGCTAAATAAACACTAAAATCCATTGAAGCTATTGGTGTTGCTTTCAGGGACCAGGGAAATACATTCATATTTCACCAGGTTATAACAACTTGTGCCTTCAAAACAGATTTAGGCTATCACAGTAAGACAAATTTAGAGCAAAGTCATCAAGTCTAAAAGCCTATAAATGTTTTGGCTGCTCTAATTAATGGAAAGTAGTTAAAAGGTTAAGACGATAGGCTAACCTTCAACAATGCTAGCAGCAATCTAAACCTAAAAACAGCTGAAAATGTTGCTTCAGACTTTTTTTCTTTCAAGTAAATCTCCTTGACAGGGTAGAACATGTTCTATAATCATCTTGAACCACATCAGATCAAAATAAAGTCCATAAAACTGAAAACTCAGAAGTGGTCCTCTAGATGATTCGTCCAATAAGCTTTATGCGTTTGCCTGCTCCTCCAGACCCGACTTTGAGGACTTAAAGGTTTCTGAAAGTCTGATGTAACAAAGATGTGTTGGACAGTGAAGGATGGACGAGCCAATGCCAAAACCCAAGCCTGGATCTAATATATTGACTTTTCCTTTCATCTAGCAGTAGAACGTAACAGGAAAAGCCTGCCTATCTAAGTTTAGAGAAACGGATCAAAAAGAACCTGCTGTTGCCGCTGGTGGTTGTGTTTGCTGCTCCTCCTCCTGGCGGTTCCAGCTGCCGGTTCCTCCCCTCTCCCTCTTAGAGTAATAATCCTGCACATCTGCAGGCAGGGTCCTCCTCACAGCCCAGCTGGAGGCGGAGGACCAGCCCGACCGGTCGATCATAGAGTCCGCTGGTTCTGGCTCCTTCTTCCGACTGCCGCCCCGGTTTTCATTGAAGCGGCTGTACGAGTCGTTCCCTGAATTGTTGCCTGTACCTGAGAAATTGTTTCTGGGCTGCCAGCGGGTTTCCGAAGTTTCTTCCTGTTGGTTGTAGAAGCTCCGGTTACCGCCACCCCGTCTACGCTCAAACCCTCCCGGACCCCCACGTCCACGTGATTCTCCCTCGTTTCCACCACCCCTGCGCTGGTCATCCCACTTTGAACCCCCACTCGAGCTCGAGTCTCGGTTCCTGTCTTCGGCGTCAGCCCGAGTCTTTTCTGTGACCCAGTCGGGATTCTCCGACCAGGTCTGCCTGTCGTTAGAACTTTCTTGTGAGAGACCGTTTTCAAAGCGGCCAGAACCTCCTTGATATCTTCGTCCCTCATAACTAGACCCACCGCCATGCTCAGACTTCCAGCCTCCCCTACTACGCTCCTTCCTCTGCGGAGACTCCTCTCTGGACTTTGACCTGTCCGGGCTGGGTCCTCGCCTGTAAGACCTTGTTCTTGATCGAGATCTTGATCTAGATCTGGAACGAGACCTAGACCTTGATCGAGAGCGACTCCTGGATCTCCTTCTCCTCCTTTCACGGCTCCGGTCCCTTCTTGAATATTCTCGTTCTCCATCCCGGTCTCTATCTCTGCTGCGAGCGTGGGACGACCGACTCGAGGCAATGTCATCGCGATCTCTTGACCGTGAGCGTTTTGATGAGTCCCTTTTCAAATCTCTTTTAGGGGACCATTTGGCGGACGGCGAGTGGAAGCGGGAGCGGCGCTGCTTGCCATTCTTCCTCTCTTGGCTCCTTTCCCTTTGTTCCTTGGCACTGGGAGTCTGGTTGTCTTGGGTTTGGGGAACAGCAGCAGGCTTCACCACATCGCTATGGTTATCCTTGTCGCTCTGAAGTTCCAAAAAGGAACTGCTTCCAGGATCACTTGTAGGTGAGCTGCAATCCATGGGGACAACATTTATGTCATCCTTGGTTGTGCAATCGTAACTGGGCTCAGAGTCATTGTTGGCTTTGGGTGTATCATTCTCCTTCGTTATGGCTTCCTCTTTGACTGGAGATTTCTCCTCGGTTGTTCCTTCCTCTTTGGCCACAGAGTCTCCCTTTGTTAAAGCCTGCTCCTGAGCTGTAGAGTCCTCCATCATTAAGGTTTCCTCTATGACCATAGAGTCCTCCTTTGGTACGGTTTTCTCTATGGACATCGAGTCTTTCTCCTTGGTTACATTGTCCTCCATGGATGTAGAGTCGTCCTTCGTCGTTAGGGTTTCTTCTATGGACATAGAGTCCTTCTGGCCGATGTCCGCTTCTTGAGCCACAGAATCCTCCTTCATAATACCCTCCCCTTGGATGGTAGAGTCTGTTAAAACTTCTTGTTTAGTCAAAACATCCTCCTTGGGTGTGGAATCTTCCTCAAGTACTGCTACAGTACTTTCAACTCCTGAACTGTCCTCTGATTTAGGCGTTTCAGAACTTTTTTCTTCAGATGTGTTTGCATCTTCATCAGCTATGCTTCCCTCAGATTCCCCAGCAGCCAGTGATTCAGGTTGTTTCAAGTCTAGTGAATTTTCATCCTTTATTTGCTTGGATGATTCTCCTGCTATGGATTCCTCTGGTGATTCACAGATTTCCGTCTTATCATCCTGCTCTACGTTTTCATCACTCTGAGGAGACAACTGGTCTTCCTGCAGGGTGATCTGGGAGACACGGGGAGATTGCAAAGTCCTATCGCCATACTCTTGGTCTGAACTGGAGCTGGGGCTGCCTGGCTCATCTTCCTGGCTGTGGATTCCCTCACAGGTTGAAACAGGGCTGTTCTGAGTGGAGTCTGGGAAACTGGGCAGCTCATTTTCTACGGCTCCAAGCTCATCAGTAGAGTTGCATCCATTCGGCTCTTCTTTGAGGCTATTTTCAGTATTAGCCTCTAGTATATCAGAGTTGTTCATATCCAATTCTTGTTTAGTTGCAGCTTTTTTTTCCTCCTTTTCAATGTCATCGTCTCCATCCCCCTCCTCCTCGCTGACTGCTGGGCTGCTGCTGTTCTTCCTTGTTGCTTTTCGTTTGCCGCTGGCCTTTCTGTTTGTTACTCTTTTCCCTTTTCTTTTTGTAGGCGCCGGAGAAGGTTTGCTCGGCTTGGAAGAATGACCAGCGGATGAGTCAGAGTCTGACAAACTGGCCTGTGCTGGTGATTTTGGGTCTGGGGCAGGAGGCTCTTCCTGACTTTTAGTGTTGCGTCTAGATCTTCTGGAAGGTAGAGACTCTGGCTCTTTGGTGGGTGCTTTAGATGTTGACGATCTGCTGCCCCTCTTCTCTCCTCCTTTAGCACACGTGACAGCGCAGACAACACCCTGAAATACTACAGGACAGAAGACATCAGTTACTGAACAGCAGACCACATAATAGATTAAAAAAAGCATACAATGTCAGTTCTGGGGGGCTTTAAATGTGAATATTTGAGGTATTTATATCTAGTGCGATGGGCATTCTGCAAAAAATCAATGATTCTAATATTTGCAATTATGCGAGACATCAGGGTTTTTTTCCGATAAACTGAAGCTTAAAGTTGTTGACCAATCAAATGCAGCTTTCATGTAGATGGCCCATCGGATGGAGCTGTTTAAGTTACATGCCTGAGACCCTTTGTAGACATAGGTGGCAAACAAAAGACTAAGTTCAGTGAGAGTTGCAATGGCCGGAATTACCCTCTTATGCTTTGAGGTGCTCTCATACTTTGAGAACCACTTATTTAATATAAAAAATAATACGTTTATAATCCAACATGTTTAAAAGATGCTGTAAAGACTTTCCAGATGCAAATGTTATTTACATCACAAGTGATATCGTCATAGCAATATAAAACACTGTTTTCACCCATTGTTGGTTTTTCTAACGTCATAGACGGCAACAATTAAAATCTGTAAAGTATGTTATTTTCCATTTAGGAGCCTTTAGGTTAATTTATTCCTGAGGATTGCATATGATGATAAACATGCAGTAGTAACAACTAGGACTTTGTAATAAATTCAGAAGAATCAGATGTTACTCACCAAAATTACTTGAGCTAAACGATGAGGTGGAGGTCAAGGGAGATGAGATGAGTTCAAATGGAGATGAGTTGCACCAACCAGGAAAACGCTGCCTGAGAAACACATCCAACAGTAAAGACCAAACGCAACAGTAAAGACTAAATATGTAAGGATCTAAAACCATAAAACAATGTTTGAAAACACCACAAAAATTAACAGTATTTTCAACTATACTGAGCATTTTCACCAATCTTGGTTATGTGAGAGTGCCCATAAAAATCAGTGAATTCCATAAAATGTTTAATTACTGTTACTGTGTACTTTGGCGATAAGAATCACTTTTTTTTTTTTAAACATTACTGGTGTCCTTAAGGACCACATTTAAAATGTTTATTTCTTTTTTTAAAGGGGTCATAGAATGATTATATAGAGTGCTGGCCTTTAAGGTCTCTGAATAGGGTAACATTGGTTGGGCTGAAAATGGAATATTTGCTGTTCTATGCACCGTAATGCAAGCCTGGTTTTTGAATATAAATGAAACGACAGGTTTTCTTCCTTATGGTATGCTCATGAATATTTAGACGAGCTGTGCGCTGATTGGTTGGTTTACAAAGAGTGAAGCGGCTGAGCAAAGATGCATTATAGCAATAAGAACTCACTCTCTCAAACATCAAATTTTTGATATGGTAGGGTGACCAGACCTCCTCTTTTTCCCGGACATGTCCTACTTTTCATACCAAAAAAAAATGTCCGGGGGGAAATTTCAAAATCGTCCGGGATTTTGGTCAACTACAGTGCAGCCCCTTGCCCGCCGCCACCGAACACAACCGACCCGCACAGTGCCCCATACATACACACTTCATCATTCTTCAACTTCACTAGACGTGGACATACTGTAGTATATTCTGCTGTAAAATTAGTCCTATATTTTCGGTTTTTTACTGGAGGTTTCAACCTATTTCACAGGATGCACCGCTTTGAGTGGCAACTAGGTGACTGTAAGAGAGTAAACAGAAACTTATTGGTTTATTTTTCTGACTAATCCAATCAGCGCGTTCTCTAACAACCAGTCACCTGGAACGCTCTTTGAACAGAGCATCCCTTAGGACAGATACGTACAGATTTCACAAGCAACCACCTCCTCACACCCCGCTCTCTCTAGTTGTGTCTGCGCAATCAAAGTAGTTCTAATCTGCATATGATGCACAAATTATTGTATTGCCTGCACGCTCTCATTCGCATTAAAAAAACACCTCACATAGTCTAAAATCCAGCATAATTTATCTGACTCGCGGCCATCTGTGAACAGCCATCTATATGAAGGAGACTCCCGGAACTTCTGCGAGACTTGGGATGTCTGTTACCGGCCTCCAGCCCCCCTCCACCAGCTGAGGATGGGCGGCTTATGGCTCTCTGCTGAGGTCCAGTCCAGTCAGCGGCCCAGCAGTCAACACTTCATTTCCAACCCCTCCCTTGGGCAAGTAAACCAGCGGGCTGGTCTGTAGGTCAATTTCAGGGCGTGACAAAAGTACAGGCTACAACCAAATAAGGCAACATCCCCAAATTGCCTTCAATTCGGGGCTTCATTTGTATTCGCCCATTTTATGGTGGAAGTTTAGAATTGTGAGATTTGCAGAGAAAGGAGGTGTCGATGGGGTTTTAACTTCTCTGTACGTCCATTTCACCCACTAAACCATTGTTATTCATCTATGAAAATGTAAACTTTTTGCATTCTATGACCCCTTTAAGAACAGTAGTGCTGTTTGTGTTTGTGGGAATTTGTCGGATGTGACCTGCAGCCAATGCCCTGATATTGGCCTTTCTCGTTTTGGTTCATTCATATCGCTCCTCTGAGGTAAAAACATTGTATTTTCTTGCTTTCATGGTTCTCTCAGTGACACATTCTTAACAGGTCCATTTTCTTTAGGAGGTTTCACAATAAAAAAAGTGTAAAAAAATTAAAGCTGAAGTTAAAAGATAAGGGTAATTTATTTTAAAGCTCAGGGGTTTTAAGCTCCAACATAAGAGAGGTATTAATTATAAACATTAGATGTGTTTTAATGACACAACTATTACGATTACGCAGGAAATATGATGCCTAGGAGCCAAAAGTTGAAGGAGGAAAAGCTTAATGACAGGTTAAACAAGCTCACAGCAGAAGGAGGCATCGTTCTCTTACCTCGAGGAGCCGTCAGCAGGAATGGGAGCAGCAGAGGCGAGCCAAGGACAACGCTGCGCCTGCAGCTTGCAGTGTTTGAATCCAGTGCTGTACGGTAGGTGCTCATCTAACCAAACAGGATCTGCACTGCAGGGGGCAATAAATACAACTGTTAACACGCATGCAGTGCTAACCTTACAAAGTGATGGGGAGAGGTTTGGCTTACATGTCCTGTGTTGGTGTTGTTACAGAGACGCAGGGGGGTGGGGACCACGCAGAGCACTCTGCTCCCCTCACCTGGGGACGACATACGGAAACAATGATGGGAAGTAAAGAGATTAAAAGCAAACCTGAAGAAGGCAACAAATGATGGAGAGATAATGGAAACAAAGATGTAAACATTAAAATGAAAAAAAAATCAGTGGTAAACAAACAAAGATTTAAAAAAATTGAAGCGTTAAGTATTTATTTTCCATCAACAAAATGAAGCGAACAAACAAACCAGAAATCTGAATCAAATCAATATTTCGTACGAACACCCTTTGCCTTTAAAAACAAACTGGACGTTTTTTTGAAAGACCTCCACTGATTGGTTCAAACTAACCACAGATCTTCTGTGGATGTAGACCTGAACATGTTGAGGTCATCGCTCTATTGGGACCAAACTAACCTCTAGCACTTCCTGATTTTATTTACATAAAGAAGATTCTTAATGACTTTGGCTATATACAGAATAAATAAATGTGGGGCCAATCATTCGCCCCCTGACAGCATTGTATGATCTATAATTATCAGCTACATTTCTCACAATTATTATTAAAAAAACTCCACCTCCATATGCAGAAATGCAGCTCAAAAACTTTCACTGTTGCCTGCAAACACTCACTCTTCACACTTCAGTCCTTTCAATGAATAAAACTGCATTCTGCTATGGCCAAATACTAGATTTTAACTTATCAGTCCAGAGCCTCTGCTGCCATTTTTCTGCAGCCCAGTTACTACGTTTTTAGCCTGCAACCCTTCCATGAAGTCAACCTCTGGCCAGATATCTTTCATCCGTTTGCTTGGATCGTTGTGCTTCTTCCAAACAGCTTAAGCAGCACATATCGAAACCCCACTCTGCTTTTTGTCTAGAAGAAACTTTGCTGATGCAGTAAAACTGCCTTGTGTCTTGTTGGTATAATTGGTTTATCGACCGACTAAAATCCTACAAAATCCCTAACTTTGTGCAAGAGTAAATATAAGAATTGATGCTGGTTTGAAGGTAAAATGTGGAAAAACCAAACATTGTTATGACTTGAATTTTGTTCCCCAACTTTGTGATTTGTAAATTAAATGCAAATGTTTTTTTTTTTCTCTCAGCTGCCTAAACGTCTGTGCAGTGTTGTTTAAAATCATTTAAAACTCACTTTGTAATTTCAGCCCAGATGTGATAAATCTTCTTTAGGTTATGATTTGGAAGATAACATGCAGTTTTTGCATATAAAAGCTATTATAGGAATTATTTTTTATTTATATTTCGACAGCCCAGTTCTGACCCGATTTCTCCTAAAACCCAACTAGTTGTGTGGTTACCTCTGCTCCAGCCTCCATGTGAAGCTTACTGCCTTCACATCAGCTAGATCTTTTCTTACCTGACAATTAATCAACAATTAATCCCGCCCGACACAAAAACCCGTCTTTGTTTGTCCCTCAAAGCCGCGGTAGGATCAGTGGGCTGAAGCCGCAGATTAAATAAGGGCGGGTTTTATTGTCTCTTTTTGAGGAGATTATTTTTATAAGCAGTAACAGTCACTAACTAAACACCATCTGTAGTTTTATTTTTTATAACACTGCTAAATACAGGGCAGTCTAGCCACATTTTACAGATCCTCTATTTAAAATTACAGCTCATTTCTGTGTGCAGCGCCTGGAAACCTATGTTTTATTCCATATATACTTAGTTACTATACCAAATCTAAGTTAGAAGTACAATTAAAAGGTTTTCAGTCTTTATATTATTATTTATAAATAATAAGTAGAAAGGGAAGAAGAAAAGCACCTTTTTTCTGCTCAGGGAAGGTGGCTCCTCATCGTTGCCTAAAAGAAGAGAAGAAGAAGAAGCCAGGAGTTAAAGAGACGAAGCATTCATGTCAGAAACCTTTTCTAGAAGGTTTAAAACTCACACTTTCGTACGAGCCCTCTTGTTTTGACATCTGATTTTCTGTCAGTCGTCTGCTGCCGTATTCTTCTAGCAGGTTTGTTTCTATAAGAGAAAAAAATGAGTTCCAAGTAAAGCATATCTAAAATAAGTAAATATTTCTTAAATTAAGAGTATTTACCCCTAATTTAAGTAAATAAAGGAGATACTTTGCCAATGGAATGAGTATTTTTACCCTTAAAATAAGATAATTAGATAAAATGCACTTCGAATAAGACAATGCAATTGTGTTTTCTTATTTCAAGTGAAAATGGCCTGGTCCAATGGCCAAAAGGAACCTTTAACCCCCATAACCAAAAAAAAAAGCAACTAACCTAAAAAAAAAAAAGAACTAACCAAAATTAAATTTTTTTCCAGTGCACTATCGTGTTGTGAGGACTCACTTGAGGCAGAGTTTCTGTTCAGGCTTTTGGCAGCAGCAGACGTCAGCTTCGAGCTGGAATTTTTTCCTCCTTACAGGAATCTGGAAACAAAAACATTTGTTTTTTTTTCTAATGAAACCAAAGCAGCTTTTAAATTATATTCATTAAAAAAAAAGGCACTCAAACAAACCTGTGAAAAACAAATGACATTTTTTGCATGCTACATTCAGGCCCATTTATGGTTGGACACCTTTCTACTATTCAAATTAAGCCACATCATCTAATAAAACACGGGTAGTGTGATGCCTCAGGCTAGGATGGCTGCCAGCTGCTCTGACGTTAATGGATGATATGAGACAGGAGAAATAATCCTGAGATGTCCAGAGAAACGCTGTCTGCTGTAATCCAGCTAAAACTCCCTGTACAATGGGACTGAGTGATGTTAGGAAGCTCACCACTAAATTCGTTACAGATTTAAAGGCTTTCATTTTCATTTAGGAAAAAGCAGAAAGAAAAACATGATTTCAGTTCCTGTTGAGATTAAGGATATATTTATTTTCATGCCCATGTAAACATAAGAATGTGATCTCACATTTCAGAGCAAATGATGAACGCAATTATTAAGAAATACTTTAAACAATGCGCATAAAAGAGGATTCTCTTTGGTATAAATGATAGTGATGCATAGTTTATTCTATTGGGCAATGATTAAAACTTGACCCAAATCACAGCAAAAGCAATCCTGGAGTTTATTTAAGCAAAGAAGTGGAATCTTATTGGATGATTAAGTCAGTCACCTGACCTTAACCTCACAGTGTATACATTTCACTGGTAAAAGAATAAACTTTGGATCGAAACAATCTTTTAAGCCGTTAAAATAGAGGAAACCCAGCGTCTGGTGAAATCCATGAGTTCTAGACTTCTAGCCATCTTCCACAGCAAAGTTTATCCACCAGATAGAAGCAGTTTCTGTCCTATAGCCTAATATATAATGACCCCCGCAGTATAACCCACTAACCACCTTCTTTTGCTTCATTTTAGCCAACAAAACCTGAATTTGTTTCAATAGAACCTGTACGAATCTAGGAAGTAGGATAAAATCTCACTAAAAGGATTCATTCCTTCATGCCGATAAGAAATGAATTAGGATTTATCTTAAACTCTTCATGTCGATTAATGACGCTTTACAACATCTAAAAACATTAGTGGAACGTGTTTAACCCAAAGGCTGCTCAGGACCAGACCAACGTATTTATGCTGACCCACCTGCACGAGGCCCAGGCTGCCATCCCATCTGTAAACATTCGTGAACGGTCGTCTGTCCACAGGGCAGGAGGGAGACATCTGCAACGTTACAAATCAGGAGACATTTCATTATGCATAACTGAAGACCAGGCATTCTTACAGAGAAACAATCAAATGCTTAGCCCTACCTCTGCCCACGTGAGGAGGCATCCGAGGCAGAAAACATGGCAGCAGCTGTCCGGCATGGCGAGCTCTCCTCCAGCAAGGGCGCCCAGGCAGACCGGACACTTTTCTGGCTCCTCGGCATCAGAGCCGTCAGATGGGCCTCCTGGAAACAAAACCAAACCAACTGTTGGTTTTTTTTCAATATCTGGGAGCTGGAATAATTAAAACACAGCCTGGAGGGAAACCCTTCGTTTAAACCACAAAACCATTATTCTAACAATTATGAAAGCAGAGCGACTAGTTATACAGTCTAATGTTGTGTAATGTGTTGGCTCGAGGAGTGCTGTAGGAAGCAGCTGTTTTTCTATTCAATCATCAGAGATAAGTTTAATCTGCAGACATTCATTATAATGCACCTCAACAAATGACTTATTTCTAAAAAATGTAATAATGAACATCTCACCACTTCCAGATCCAGTCATGTCGGGCCCCAGGTGGTCCTGATCACAAATACGACAACAAAAAACAACAAATTATAAAGTTTCAAACTGTAGATCCATCAGAGAGGTTATTTCTAACATCCCCTGCTTGTTGTAATTACAGCTCGGCTTTTAACAAACCATCAGTGATTTCTATTTGTCAGAAAAACAACTAAACTTTTGCTTTTTTTTTAATTTTTTTTATTCCATCTAATTGATCTGTAACTTCAACAGACTGATAATCCTGTTAAAGGATGAGTCTATGCCTAAAATAGTCCAGATTCTGGTATCAAAGTTTGGTAACATTTAAAAAAGGCTGGTTAGCTGCGACAAATTTGGCTTTTTAAAATAGACCTGGAAGCAAAAAACCACATGCTATCACACCAGTATTGAACTGATAACATAAAAAACAACAGAACTCTAAAACAATCATGTCTGTGAAGCAGCTTCCTGCAGGCTAGCTCCTCTGACTAATAACCTGACTAACCGGCTAATAGCTTTCTTTATTTGCGTTAGTTTTTAGAAAGAAGTGCATGAAACAGGTTTGAACATTTTGCACAACAAGCACTAAAAAAACACTGTTGGATTTACAGCTGTAGATGTAATTCTGCTCAAATTTGGCTAATTAAAAAGGTGGGATTACCTCCACATCTCACGAGGTTCTGACAGATATTTAATTTAGCAGCAGTAAAGCTTTATATACCTTTAGCTTTAAATTGAAGTAGGAAGATTATTCTTTACATTTGTGTTTCATTTATCTGAGCAAATATCACTCTATGGTATTTATTTCGAGTCGTTATAATACTAGAGCAATAAAGCAGCAGGTTTTAACATTATTGTATTTTTATAAATACAAATCTGTAAAATAATGAAAGAAATAATTATCTTCAGAGCAGATAAGTTAATTTTGTTTTAAGATTTAAAATCTTATTTGGATCTTCAATGTAGGAAAAAAAAAAAAAGGAGTTATTAAAAACTGCTATCAACAATAAAACACATTAAAAAGGCTTTCATTAAACAATATTAACCAGGACTTTACAACCTGTAGAAAACTTTAACCTCTTTAAAGCTGTTTTTTTTCTCCCAGGCTTAGGTGATTCAGATATTTTAATTGAATTATTTCACCACCAAAGCAGAGAAAAAAAAAAAGTTTCAAACAGTTGATTAATCTATTTATTCAGAGGAAAAATAAATGTCCCCCTTGTTTATCTAGAACTAACTGTCCAGTTCTATCAGTAAAATCCAGGCGTGCCAACTGCTGCGTGTTTAATCTGGATTTTTCTAAAACAGAACCTGTCTGACAACCAGAAGTAGGCAAACAGATCTCAAAAGGCATCATGCTCAGAACTAAAGAAACTCAGGAAATTAATTCATTTATCATAATTGAAAACATCCTGCTCTCAGTTAGCGTTGTCATCTTTACAGTTAAAGTGAATCTTGATGTACGGATTCGACGGATCTGAGCCGCTAAATTACATTACTATTCATTTCTGATACGATATTAATATTGCAGCTCTGAGGATTGGCCTGATATGATCACTAATTATTAATACTTTTTTTTCCCTTTTAGTGGGGGAATGTTAGACAATGCTTGTTAAAGTGATGCTACTCAAACTGTGGAAAACTGATCTATTTATGACCCAAAGGATGCAGAGGCTGAAGCAGAGTCAGCGATTTTAGATAGAGACCAAAACAGCTGCAGCTAAGCTGTGCTGAGTCCAAAAAAATTATTACACACTTTTATAAATACTCAGTATTAGCAAGTGCTAAAATGTCAGTATTTGTACTTGATTAGAAGAAATCTGCTATCAGAACTTCCCTAATTAACATCTTAAACCATGTTATTGCATAACATGATTTATACAGGAATGATTGACTCTAATTGATTGCTTTTTAATGCCTCCAGCTTCATTTCCAAACATACGGCTTTTCGATCAACGGGAAGCAGTTCTGCGTAAATATATCACAATATAATATATCTGATTAGGGCTGGGTATTTTGGCCAAAGTCCTGAATTGATTCGATTTTGATTCATACAGTTCTAAATCAATTAATTTCAATTCGATCTGTTTTTATAATAATGAAAGTGGTTCAACAGTGTTTCAAAACACTCATGTATTATATTTTTTCCTATCATATTAAACGCAAAGTGCAAACTTGTAAATCGGACAGTTTAAACATGAGATGTGAACAAAACTGTCTCAAAAGTGCAAACTTGTTTGTGAAAAGTGAAAAAGCCTCACATGAGCAAGCAGACGAGACACAGCGGGGACACAGCAGACATGCATGAGCAGCATTATCTCCACTGCACAAACCATATATGCAGCGTTGTCTGTAACAACTACAGGGTGTTTGCTGGTCAGCCTCCATTTGTTAATGTCTTCAGTCAACCTATTAGCTATATTTGCAGCTGTCTGGCTTGAAGTATTTTGAGGGCATCTTTCCTAATAATTTAAATGTGAACGTCATGCACGTCACTATAAAAGTAATTGATCTCATTCGCTAGACATCGATTTTTACAAAAATGTAAAGGAATCGATTCAAAATCGATTAATCGATTTTTTTACCCAGCCCTATATCTGATGAAATTGTTTTTAGAAACGATTTTTTTTAATAAAGCATTTTAAATGTCACAAAGCTAACATTTAATAAATTTTATTGCCTATAAGGGCCTTAATTTAAGAAATAATAATGTAATGATTTTTTATAATTTTTAAATGACCCGCGGGAATCCTGCATAAATGCTGACAAAAATCAAGAGATTGTGAAAAACTTTTAATGTTGTAAGCTTATAGTCGGTGCTCTACACTGCCCCCTAGAGTTAGATAGATGTACAAAGCATAATATCAGTACATAAGCGCCTCATTTTCACGCAGAATGTAGATGGATCAGAATAAACCAGCAATTGTTGTGGCTTTGCATTAGCAGGGAGTGTTTGCACGTCCAGATTTTCAGTTTCAAAGAACATACCACCTCCTAGTGGCGTGGCAGGGAAATTACAATGTTTGGTTAAAACACAATGTAGATTTTTTTTAACCAAAAAGTGAAGACTGTCTGTTTTTTCAATGGATCCTTGTCGTGGAAATGGAGCTTAAAACACATGAAACATGATGAATAGGTTTGGAGAAAAGTGTTTGAACAAATTTTGGTCAAACAGACAACAGCATCACTCCAAATTGTTTCACCTACAAAGCAAACAAATAGCAAGAATAGCAAGAAGAATTTCATTAAAAACAAAGTGAAACTACAAACCAGACGATGCTCCACTAACTACAGTAAGGTACTAAAGATGCCAACAGGCACACGCTAATGTTAGCATATGACCCGTCTGTTGCTACATGACAGTTTCATATCTTAACATCCATCTAAGGTTCCTGCATTTAGTTGCGTTTTGTTCTTGTCCACTGCAGCCAGAGTTTGATGAAAGATTAACATCCAGGGACAGACGGGTAGATCAATATGTTGTAAAAAGTTGCATGGTTATAGCAGCTAATGATAAAAACAAGAACAATCAGACTGCAGCCAACAACCTATCAAGCTAGTGGACCCCTGCCTGGATCACAATGCAGAATTGAAACAAGAACCAAGTTCTTGATTATATTCTGTTTTCCAATTAGCTGCACAGGTCCGAGACTGGATTACTGCAACTACAGAGGAGATCAAGAGTCAAAACAACTGCTACAAAAAAACAACAAGAGCATTGAAACACAGTGGAGACAGTGTCATGTCATGGTCTTCTCTCATGTAATATTTCAACTTATTGGACGATTTGAAACCTTTAACAAAGAATAAACGGCAGAAAAACTAATAAATCTGGAAAGATAGATATATGTTAATATAATGCCATAAATAGTGGCCTGGAATGTGGATGTTCTATAGAATCTGTGGTCTGGTTAGAGGACGACTTAAGAGTAAAACTCACTTTTTATATACTCTATGTATCCTTACTAGATAGCAGCTGTGGTAATGATAAAAAGAGGTTAATCTAATTCCTCTTAATAAAAGTTCATCATTTTGATTTATATATATATTTTTAAATATCCTATTGCTCTAATTTTTTTTCAATATGAGTTGAAAGCTTTGACATTTAGGACTGTAGAGCTTCAGCCATGAAACATGGAGCTTTTTTTGAATAAGGATCTGCCAAAGCGCTGACAATCCTCGTTTTTTCATTGCTAATGAATAATTTGTCATGTTGACATGGATAGATAGCATATAATCCCTCTACCTGGGAACGGATTTCAAAAATATATACATAAAATAGAAGAAAAAAGAAAAGAAATTCAACTTGCCAAAGTTTGAGTCATAGTAAACAAACATTAAGCTTTACTACAAAAGAGTAGAAAACCCGAGTCTAACCCATTGGATCCAATTAGATTAGGTTTAATAAGACAATTTAAAAGAAAAACAAGTGAAAGAGTTTAAAACTAGGCTGACAGACTCTGGCCTAAAGACATTTTCGAACCGCCTCAGCAGAAATCATGTCAACACACAAACACCGGAGCTTTTTCCGGTTGTCAGCTCAACTTTCCATTAAAAAAATATCTTTAAATATTGAAATAAATCCAAATGTGTTAATCACGAGCTAAAGCGTTGGAGTTCGCTTCTTAAAAGCTGTTTTTATGCGTAAGGCCTCCTGACTGGAGACACTAAATTAGCACCAACTTGTGCCAACACGACGGTAACAACATGGTTGTTATTGGTAGCAGCAGCTAGCTACAACCAGAAGCTTCGAAAAGCTATCTCCGAATCACTACTATTGCTACTAGAGCGTCTGAATAATGTTTATCATTAGCGAAATGGGCTGCAATGAAGGTCAGAAGCTAGCTAGCTAGCTAGCTAAATGGGATAGGAGGCATATTTAGCTAGAAGCTAGCGGCTTTCAACAACAGCACCTGCTTACGTAGCCTGTAGCTTCCGAGCTGCTAGCTCCGGCTAGCTCCAGTTAGCTTGTGTAAATGGTCGTTACTCACCTTTAAACGGAGTTCAGGTTTAATTTTACTCGGTGAAGCAGTGTTAGCGTCCAATCCGTTCTGTTGTTTGTCTGAATGAGGGTATCTGAGAACAATCTTTAGCTAAAATTGAGGCATAGATTTCAGAAAGCCACAGCCACATGTCAAGCAGTCTAGCTGCAAAAGTTGCGCTTCTGGCGCCCCCTATTGGAAGCGCGGAGTATTACAGTACATGGTTTATCCATTCGCTTTCGTTTGTGCTCAAAAACAACCAAGCTGAAAGTCCATGGGCCACCATAAATAAAGTAAGGACTTGGAAATCTCTCTACATACAGGAGCATTCTCATGATATTTAGAGATCAATAAACAAAGTTACCTTCTATGCAGATGATTTATTTTATTTCAAATTGCCTTATTAATTTGCAATTCATGTTGTTACAATGTTTTAGTTGGAGGGGAAAAGATTCCTATCACACGTCTTTGCCCTTTTCCTGCATGTGCTCTGGGGGAATTTATTTTGTTTAGCTTTATGCAGACTTAGCAAGTCTTGGCAATGATTGATCTTTTTTTTTTTTTTAATTGAACTTTACTGATCTCACATTAGAGAAATTTACCTCTGTATTTAACCCTGCCCCTTGGGGAGCAGTGGGCTGCCATATTGGGGCGCTCAGGGAGCAATAAGGGGTAAAGGGTCTTGCTCAGGGGCCCAGAATGGCAGTGAATGAGAGTGGATTTTGAACTTAGAACAGGATTTCAAGCTCTATACCCTGACCACTAGGCTGCCACAATCTAGTCCTTATTGCAATAGCATAGCATCACTCAAATTAAAAATTAAAGCTTCCGGTTTCCCTTTAATAACAGATCATGTAAGATTCCAAAATGTTCAAAGATCAGTTTATGTACGTTCGAACTTCAGGAAAGGTTCTAGAGAACTCCTTTTTAAATATAAACGTGAATTACTCCAAAAAGATTTCAAAAATAACTTTTACTTTCATTTCATGCATGAATTCATTTGAAAACTGAATCTTTCAATCAGCCTCTTTGAGCTCTAAATATGTTTAATCTATAAGGGAGGGACAACCTTTCAGCTCTATACACCTGAAAAACTCAGATTTTCCTGAAACCTGTTCTGTAAATAAGCTAAATAATTCTTGAGATGAAAGAAAAGCAGAAACAAAGAGTAAAGCCCAGGCAAAATGTTCAGTGTTTTATTTAAAAACTATAAACAGTCACCAAAGTAAATAAAGCCAATCTCTAACAGACTGTTAGGTCTATGTATAGTCACACATCCTACTGACACCGCAGAAATGAAGATGGTTGGGGTCGCCCCGGTCAGATGCTAATACGACAGGCAGTCAAAAATGTTACACAACACACGGTAGAGAGAGGACAGTCTGAGGACGTGAGCCGGAATGTGGCATGGTAGTAAGAATGAAAAAATAGTACAATAAAACTCCACACTATATTAAGATAGAAAAAAGTAGTGAAGAAAATATCATACCTGCACGTAAAGCAAAGAACACAGGAGAAAACCTGTATAAAAACTCCATGTATTTAAACCAATTTACAAATACAAAAAATTTTTTTTTGGTACGCGCCCCGTGCCCGTACGATGACAAAAAGAAAAAAAAAAAAAAACGTTTACAGTGGATTATATGCTCCTCGTGTGTGTGCACGTGTTTTTGGGGAGAAGGGGGGTGTGTGAGGGCATAGGGAGAGGGGAATACCTTCAATATTTTTTTTTTTCTTCTACAAAATGACATGAGATATATTATTCCATACTCTTTCAGCCAGCAAAATGAGTTCTACAAGGTATTATAATACAAAAAATGTCACAGTTCCACAAAAAACTGTTTTTTCCCCGTCCCTTAGCTTTACAGCATCAGTACCTTTGCAGAATTATTTACAAGTTTTTAAGTACATTCATCCACTGCTGAGTATAGAATCACATTAGATACAAGTGACCAAGGATCATTTAAAAAAAAAAAAAAAAGCAAGATAACAAAAAACAAACATACTACTTTATTAAATCCTGTCAAAGTAATGCTTCTATTACCCCACAGAGCATGTTCTCCAGTGGCTGCATCGGCATCAAAGGATCTTCTTTATATATATTCACAACATATTTACAAGATTCTTTTTTTTTATTCATTGTAATGGTATTCATTTTGATAATAAATAAGTGAAAATATATTGACTCAAGTAAGAAAACCAAGCTACCGAGTTTCTAAAGAAAAATTTCTCTGCTCCAGTCGCTGAGTCCTCCTTCCACCCAACCCTGTGAGAACCTTTTGTAGCCCCGCCCCTTCCAGGCCCCGCCCTGTTCCTGCTCTTCACCCAAAGCTCCAACACACTATTGTTTTATGGGATGGACTAAAAAAAAAAAAAAAAAACAGGGGGGGAAAAACTTACTCAAACTAAATGTGCTCATGTTTGGGGTTTTGTCAGTGGAGTCCCTCAGGGAAGCAGTCTCAAAAAGAGCTCCCCCTGGTGGGCAGCTGGTGGAAGATCCCCAAAGGCAGTTTTTTTTTCCTCCCCCCCCTCTTTCTGTGTGTGATGGTAGAGAGCGGGTTTTACACAGGTCGCCGAGGAAGAAGGTGAGGGATTGAACGGACGTTTAGGGGTGGAGGTGGAAGCTGCAGAACTTTGTCCTGGTTCCCCCTCCTCTGCTCCCCCCGTCCCTCAACACATGGACCAGCTACTGCTCACCGGCCCCTCGCTCCTCTCTCCTCAGGAGCGGGACCAGAGGATGGTAGGGGTCGTCCCTCTGGCGTTAAGCCTGAAGCGAGCGCTTGAGTTCGTAAAGGCATTTGGCGAGCGTGGTGGAGACCTCCATGTTACTTAACGCCAGCACTGAGAGGTGCGTCTCATGCCTTTTTACCAACCTGAACAACAATGAAGAAGAACATTTTTAAACATCAGCAAAACATCATATTGAAATATGCAAAATTTAGGTCTGAGAGAAAACTTAAAAGTCATTTATTTTATAGCGACAGTATGTTTACAAAAAAGGAGTAAAAAGCCTTTACATTAGTAAAAAAAATTATAATTTGAGCTTACTTAGTAGGAAAGAAATCCCTGTAAAATAATGCATATATAGCAGCTTGTTTTATGACAGGAACAGATCTGTTTGATCACTGCTCTGCTGTAGAACTACAGATGAACAACCAAAGGGTTTAAGTTTAAAATCGACATGTGGTCTTCTTCAGTTTGATTTAATAAAAAATAAAAATAAAGAGCCCATAGTGTCACAGATTGTGGAGCGCTTTTCAGCCTCACACTTTCAAAATAAATAAAAGTGATCAATCTGTCTCCTTGGACAGAATAAATGTTCCAGTAAATTCCCAGCAGTGATCAGCAAACTGCCCGTCTACCATGTGGGGCGTCTACACATTGCTATGGAGACTTTGGAACCCCTAGATACAGTTCCTTGCTCACTAAGCGTAGTGCAAAACTAACTACATGTTCCCATTGAGGGCCTCTGTGTGCATCACATTTACACCAACAAATGAGATATAAAAAAAAACTAAAATAAAAGACGAAAACTGGTGCTTGGCTACATTTCTTTGACCATCTGATTATTTCTGTGAATACTAAATAATCCGATTCAGATCATTGAATGGCGAACTTACATGCGACCACAGTCGGAGTGCTTGGCGATGTTCTTTAATGTTAAGGCAGCAGTTAGTCGTATGTGTTTGGTCACTGGTCCCTCCTTCTCATCCTACAGGAAACAAAAGAAATGTGACGCATGACTCAGCAGATTATCGCAGCAACTAAAAATCTGACGTGCTCCATATTAACTGGCAGGAGAACAGATGAGCTGAACAGATTTAGGAACAGAAAGCAGAGACATGTGGCGTGCTCTACTCACTGTGAAGTCCCTGAAGACCAAGTTTCGAGAACCTCTGCGTAGGGCCATGAGAGCTGCGCTGGGATGATTGACGATTGCTTTCGGCGCCCGCTGAGCCGGAGTGCTGCCTGCTGCTGGCGGCGTCCTTCGCAGAACAAAAAGCAAACTCTGGTTATTAAAGCTGATTTTTGATAAACTGTGATACGAGTCGTGTTAGAGTGGAAGGTCGACGCACTGGGAAGATGTCTGATTGGGACTTTGCGCCTGCTGCTCCTCCAGTTTGAGTCCAGCCAGCAGAGCCTCTCGCGAACAGTGTTTATCCTGGGAAAGCAGAGCAGACCCTGTTAAATCAAAGCGCTTTAGATCTGAACCTAATGAATCGCTGTGAATGATGAGAGGATTTTACCTGCAGATGTGTGATGAAGGACAGTCTCTGACGGGGAAAAGGCTCGCACCCCTCCCACAGACACTGGCCTCCATACACCTCTTTGCCTCCGTGTTGCGTCGCTGCGTGGTAAAACACCTGAGACGGCGTCTCGAACCACCTGGAAACCAAAGATGTTTAAGGCTTGATAAAGGTGGATCCCATCAGATGGGAGCGCTACGGAAACAGAACAGAGCTTTGTACCGTTTGCAGGACTGCCACAGGCATTTGAAGTTCTGCCCTGCTTTCCTGCCCGGTTCCGACGGTGCGGTGGAGGTCTGCTGCGCCAGGAGGTGCGGGCTGTGGTTACCTGCTGTTGCGGGCTGCGATGAGGGAGCTGGGGGCGGGGTTACAGCCGGCTAGAGGGGAAACACAGTTTTAGTTCTTCTGATTCAGAACCAGACCAGAGTGGGTTTGTTGGCTGAGATGTAACCCGGACCCGTCTCTTGGTCCAAGTTGTTCTCTCAGCTGCTTTGCTGTAGGAGGTGGGTATCAGTGAGAGCCACATGGTCTTAACTGGACTCACCTTCTTAACCTCCACAACTTTAGATCAGACTAGCCACAATAAAATATTAATTTTTTGTAGTTGTAGAAATGTTTACACAGAGATGGTTCCTGATTTCAGCCCTGAAAACCAAACTACAGCAGAGATGGACCCTCAGGGTTCAACACATGCATTTACCTCGAATAATGAGGACTAATCTTTTCTTTCAACTGTTAATTAAATCTTAACTTTAATCTTAAAGATTCCAGAATTGACTTTTTAAGCAGAAGTCATAAACTGTGGTAGCAAACAAGGAGACGGGGGTTGGTCCCAGACCACAGTGACTCACCGTGGATCCAGCCGCTTGTGTAGGCGAGCAGTTCCTCTGCTGAGTGGCGTTCTCTATTGCTACTTTGGCTACTGTGCTTGG